ACCCTAGGGTGGGTGCTATGCCCCACCCTAACCCTGTGTGGGATGTGGTGTGCACATTTTTAAGCCCCAAGTGAAAATAGAATCTTTCTTGATCTTTTACAGTTTTTCACCCAGAAATTCTAGATCTTTGACTTTGTCCCAAGAAAATATTTAGATACCTGTGAAAGTTGGTATGCAAAGTGACCAACATAAAATTATTTGTAATAGAAAATTAAAATAGCCCAAGTGCCTAACAGTAAACATTAGTTACAGAGATTATAGTAAATGAAGTCATGGGGTGGAACGTTAAACAGTTAGTAAAACTGTTTTGTTTTTTTGAAAAATGATTAGAGGCATAAAAGAATCATGCAATAATATGAAGTGAATATTAATTGAACTGGATTAAATATAGTTTAGAATATATTTAGCCCAATTCAATGTCCATGTAAAAAAATATCTGGGAAGAATGAAACATGTATGTGCACATTCTCACTTTCTTCTTTTCTCCATATTATCAAGATTTTCTAAGATTGACATCTTGGTTTATAATCAGGAATATCTATGTGAAATAAAATAGACTGTTGCAGTGAGGAAGCCCACCACCCCCTGTCTGAGTGTTACATGGACTTTAGCTTTATGATTCTGGTTCTAACTAGACCCTTCTATGAGGGAGAGCATTTCCTCTCCAAATGTGTCACTCAACAGGCCAGACCACGCCTTTGGGACAGACCTAGGCCCATTTACTTACTTTGTGGGAGCAGAGCTGAACCCAGAGCCTGATTTCATGGTGTCTGTCGGTGAGATCGGCTTGCTCCTGGCAGAAGTTCCAGCGTCCTCTCTAGAGATAAGGATCAGGAGAGTGATGAGTGATGTGACTGTGGGTCACACACTGATTTGCCTTGATGCAGTCTCCCTCTTCAGAGCCTGGGATGTTCTGATTCAAAGGGGTCCAGAGCCCCCTTTGAATTAGCCTGCGTGTAAATGGAAGTCACTGCTGAGGCCAGCCCTTGACTGAGTGCTTCCTGTAATGTCATAGTGGGGTGACTGGAACTCAAGGTGACATCCGTCAGTTTATATCATGTCGCACCTCTTGCTATGCCTGTTTGTAGAACAAAATTTATTCATCTTTACCTAGCAGCGTCCACATGTTTTGGGAAGCTTAATTGTACCCATGGTACTCAACCACAGTTGGTTAGTTTGGCAAGTTCAGTCACTCATACAACAAATAAGGATGGTATATCTCCCTTGCACCAGGTGGGCTACGACTTTCTAGAAGTGGTGTGGCGAGCAACCAGACCCTGCAGTGCCCACAGTCCCCGAAGGACACAGGCATTCAACCAATAAGCGTGATAGTCGATGTGTGGCTGCTGTCGCCTGACACCGGGCGGGAATTTTCATGAGCGCTCTGTTTTGAGTTGCAGAAGCAATGTCAAGATTTGCATATGGTTTTAAAACTGTAAACAAGAGTAGTTATGATGACATCACCCCCACTTTCTTTTGTTTCGGGCATGCTTCCCTCAGTGAGTGCCGTTACAGCAAAGCTCCTGGGGCCCTGGGACTCCTCTGGAAGTGGGCGGACGTCTTCCAGTGGACATGTTGCAGGGGGAGGGGAAGCACCGCCTGACCAGAGGATGTTCATCCCTAGACTGGTCAGTGCCGGGGCCGTCACAGTGAGCGTTTGACATCCCCGAGTCTCCACATTGTCATCTGTGAAATGGGATCATGACTCATCTTACAATTGGTTGTGAAAATTAACAAGATAATCAATATAAGCACCTTGCCCAGTGCCTGGTGAATTCAAATGCTCAAAATATATTAGTTGCCTCCGATTGTGCCTGTATAAAGAAGACCAGGGTGGCTCCTTTCAATCTCTGCTCGTGCAATCAGGCTTTTCGAATATAAGAAGTCTCAGAAGTTTTGGAGGTCCAAGACAGGCATTTAGTTTTTTTTTGACTTGTGTGTAAATCTTTCTCCTTTTTTATGATCACATGGATTCCACAGATATCTTCTGAGCATCAGGGAGCAGTCAAGGTGGGATGTGTCAGCAGATAAATCAGATGCTCTTCCTCTTCTCAACAGGCTCCTAGACTAGTGGGACACCAGGGAACAGAGGGACAGAGGGAGTCACCCGGGCATGGAGGAGGTCTCCTGCAACAAGCAGGAAGGGAAGCAGCAGGAGAGCAGCATCCAAGCTTGGAGCTGGGGCCAAGGATTCGGAGCCCAAGTCAAGACGAAGAAAGCAGAAGGGAGCAGAGTGAGGCTGAAGAATCCAAGGGAAGAAAGCCAAGGATTTCTTTATAGTTGTCCACCCTTTCTCGTTACAAGTCACGGTACAGGGAGGCCACCTGCATAGCGGAGTCGCATGTCAAAAGCATAGCCAGCTGCACACCCACATGCTGCTCTGGACTTCATCTCTCAACACATGTGGCCACGGCTACTGGGAGCAGCCGGCCTGAAGGGAAGAGAGGATGGGAAAGCGTGTGCCTGCGGTACGCAGGGGGAGATTGTCCAGGCCGACCTGAGCACAAGTAAATATACTTTATGTACAGCGAATACTTCAGGAAGTGAGGAAATCAATCTGGCATGAACTTCGTTGGATGCAAGTTCAGACCGTGTGTGCGTGTCTGTGTGCGCACGTGTACATGGGCATCTTCCAAGTACTCTGGGACTCTCAACAATATATGACCTACAAGACAGAGTCAGGGGGGCGCTTTTAACCTCAGATCTGTGCCAGGATCCTGTGTGAAATGGTGCCAAGCCAAAACGCGTGCCTCCAGCGGCCCCTCTTCCACTCTTCTCCCACGAGAGAGTGTGCACCGGGCCGGGGCCGACAGGGCAAGTGTCCCACCTCCCAGTTCACATGGAGCCACTGTAACTTTAAAAAGATTGAACAAAGACCACCTCCACTAGCTAAGCTGAAATAAGAATGTCTCCCGAGTTTAATGGATCAAGTAGCGGTGATAGGTTTTATGGTTCTTTTTCACTTTAGGGCACGGGAAAGAGAGAGCCAGGCAGGTTGGTTTTAAATTCAAGGATTTATGCTGTTAATCCTCCGGGCTAATTATAATTTATGGGATCTTGGCAAATTAATATGCGGTTGCTATTCAAAAGTGGAGAGCAATGTGAGGCAGGCATAAACAAGCCTTGTTCATTTTTAATTTATTTCCACCAATGGAGAATATTAAATAAAATGAACACTAGGGTATTTCGCTCTGAGTTCGGTGTTCATTATTTATCTCTAAATTATGAAATTCATATAACAACTGCTTGTTTTTTCACCAAGAACCCAGAAACAGCGAGTGATAGCATCCGGATAAGTAGAAGGCGATCAGTAATTCTTTTCTCTACTGCTTCTAAGACAGGCCTAGTGGTGCGTGCATGGAGACGGAGGTGTTCCAAGCATGCAGGTGGGTGAGGTCCAAGATTTGGTGTCACATACGTCAGGATAGTTTAGAAACAGGACTTGGAAGTGGGATGTGAGTTTACAATCCCAGTTCCACAGAAACGAAAGTTCCAGTCCTCCCCATGCCAGGGCGCGTTGCGACTCCAGGGCTTTGGGAGATCCCAGTGTACTGCTGGCCTGATAGATGCTGAGTAGAGAGGTGACCCTCTGATAGGCCTTTTATCAAGCAATCTCATTGCACCCAGGACCCCCAGTTTATCAGCACCCCCTAGGCCAGCGCTTCTCAACCTGTGGGCCGCGAACAATGAAAATACATCCTGCATATCAGATATTTACATGATGATTCATAACAGTAGCAAAATGACAGTTATGAAGTAGCAACGAAAATAATTTTATGATTGGGGTCACCACAACATGAGGAACTGTATTAAAGGGTCACGGCATTAGGAAGGTTGAGAACCACTGCCCTAGGCTGTTTATAGAATTCACTTTTAAAGAATTTAGCCTTTCACCCATGAACAACTGGCAGGAAAATTTTCCCCAATTGATAACCAGGAGGCAGGCAGATTCATCTAGCATGATAATTAGTTGCTCCACCAGACACAAGAATGTCCCTCCCATTTCCCCTCTACCTTCCCCCCTTCTTCCTTCCCCCCCTCCTCCTCCCCGCAGGGAGAGGCCAGCACGTGCTGCTTGGAGAGCTGCGGAAGCCTTGAGCTCTGAGCCCAAGAAGCAGGTTGGAGTCCTCCCCCCAGCTGTGTAGCTCAGATAACAGCTGGAGCAGAGAACAGGCTGTGCTCACTGCTAGAATATCTGACCCAGTTCTGACTGGCGCAGAGACTTAATAGTTGGTACCCCAAGTCTTTCTCGCGCCTGTGTGAAGGGAGGGAAGCAGGCCTTTCTCTCCACCCCAGACACACACTCCCGTCCAACTCTGTCCCCCTCGCCTCTCACTTCTTTTCATTGCGGTTATGCTCGTCTTTCATTTTCTTGTCGGTGGGAAAGTGAAGGGCCACTTTCAACAACTCTGAAGAAGCAATGGGATGTTTTGCTTTGGGAGGGAAGGTAGCGTGGAAAGGCAAGGGCTTCTGGAGTCTGACAGCCGCCGAATCCAATCCCAGCTCTACCTTTTATCAGCTGGGTATTGTGTGGGGCAAGTTACCTAACCTTTCTGAATCGTCTCACAATAACAAGAGAATACTATTGTTATAGGTCTGTGGGGACTGTTATGAGAAATGAGATGTTGAGAAGCACCTGGCACACTGCCTACCTTCTTCTACCTGGTCTTAATTGATAGCTCTGCCCCTTTAACCCCCACCCTTGTACATAATAGATTCTCAGCAAATATGCTTAGGACTGAATTGACCAGAAGAGTGCATTTGTACCTCTGGCACTCAGGGTCATAGACACTGTGACCCCGGGAGGACATCCCAGATCTGTGAATAAATGTGACAGGTCGTGTATATACCCCGCAAAGCTGGAGGGGCTGAGTACCTGTGGGGTCGTGTGTCTCTGTGATATGAGCAAGGCCCTCGATAGACAAGCAGCCCGGCACTGAGCGCTGGCTGGAAGTGACTCTGTACCTGCAGATTGTTTCCTCGGTCATTGTTTCTCTCTCATGTTTTATTTTCGTTTCTGAAAACAGCAGGAAATCCAACATGTGTGTTGACAGACTCCTGGCTTTGCAGTAGCTCCTTATTCAGGGGGTGTTCAGCCTAATCATTTTTTGGCAAGAGGACATTCAATTTCCTGCATTATTTAGCAATAAAAACTTAAACCTAATTGAAATCATGTACTCAGTATTCTATATTATTTTTAGTTCAGTAATCAATAATGTTATGGTTCCACTTTTTAACGTGCTCCTCTGAAGGAGTAAGATGAAAAAATAAAAGCCCAAAAGTTTAAAAAAACACACACAAAAAAACTGCATTTGGCAAGAGACTGAAAAGTTCTAAAAGAAAGGCAGGAGGAAATTTTGGGGAGAAATCGGCATGAGTAATGTGTAAGCAAGGGCGCTAGAAAAGGATCAGGGTGTCACAGTAGTACAAGGGCTCAGGCTTATTATATTACAGAGTTTTGTCCAAAGAACAGTTGGTTTTGATTTATCGGCCATGTCCTGCCATGAACCCAGATGTGTGTCCACCAGCTCTAGTAGGAGAAAGATTTGTGTAACAGCCTCCATCCTGAATTCAAATTCTAGTTCTCCCATCCTCTCAAGCTTTGCAGAGGGGTCAGGCTGATCAGATATGTCTCCTTGAGGATGAGCTGTCTCTTAGGACCCTGCTAGGCACCCCCACAAATGTGATTCTTTCTGGTGGGTGCCCCAAAGAGCTCCCAGCCATACCTGATGCCCACACTTGTCTGATCCCCAGGACTGGACATAGCCCACGCTCAGTCAGAGAATCTTACCCCTCTGCTCCTCCTTCCCAGCTTGCTAACAACACGGGAAGTTAGGTGGTTTCATCTTTCCTCTTAAATACAGGGGTGGGCAAAAGTAGATTTATAGTTGCTTGAAAGGAAAATAATACAATGATTAATAAATAAGAATATCAGAATAAACTCTGTGTTTTGGGTACCTACAACGATAAGCCTATTTTTGCCCACCCTTGTATGTGTACCTATGAAAGTCAAGATTTTTGGTTCAAGTCTACTGTCCTGTCAAAAGTGTTCTGCACTTGATTTAGAGATAGGAGATGAGGTTCACAAGTACATAAAGGACCCACCTATCAAGTCATCATTCTCTTATGCCGAGTATTATTGAAGCTCATGATAGACCCCAGGAGGGAGAGAGATGGTGGTATGGTTGAATGTTGCGTCCCCTACAAAATTCCTATGTCCAGGTCTTACTCTCTAATGTGATGGAATCAGCAGGTGGGGCCTTGGGAAGGTGATTTAGTGGTGAGGGTGGAGCCCTCATGAATGAGATGAATGCTCTTATCAAACAGGCCCAGAGAGCTCTGCTGCCCCTTCCACCATCCGAGGACACAAGACGTCCGCCACCCAGAGGAGGGCCCTCCGCTGATCATGCTGACACCTGATCTCAGACTGTCAGCCTCCAGAGCTGCGAGGAACCAGCGTCTGTTGTTTATAAGCTATGTGGTCTGTGCAGCTCGGTCACACTAAGGGAGACGGAGAGCATATTTGGTCTAATTTTCTTTGCTGCTTCTCCGAGCCCTAGAACCATTTCCAGGAATGTCCAAACCTGAAACATCCATCTATTGGGGGGCTTCCGGCTTCCAGGATGCCTGCTTTTCTCTCAATCCTTTTCCCAGCAAATTATTTAAGGACAACTCTTCCATACACCATTTCCAGAAAAACAGGAGCTAAGGCACCCCATTGCGACCAGCACAAATGTTCCTGATCGTTTGTATCTCGGTTTTATTTCTCTTTCTAACACTATGCAAAAGACTAAGACAGCACTTGCGTGAACGTTTGCACATCACTTAAATATTCATTTCCAGTAATTTATTCACAGTTGTAAAGTTTATTACCCACAATATAGAGTCATAGAATTTTAGAGCCGTAGGACAGGAGAGAAATCATCTAGCCCCACCTCCTCATTGTACAGATAAGGAAACTGAGGTGAGGAGGGCTCAGGTGACTGATCAAGGTCAAGTTCTGAATGAGAGACACAAAGTCAAGTCTCAACAGTCAAGCGTCTGTTGAACGCAGCTCTGCGATGCTAAAGACCAGCTCGTTCTTCCTGAGCAGAGAGCCTTCTCCCAAATCATCATCTGTTTCTCCGCAATCGAGCAGGTGCCCATTGAGTGCCTGCTCAGTGCTGGGTGCTTGAGAACAGCCATGAATGACACCATCATGGTGATGGCACTCACAGTCTAGCAGGCAAAGAGGCGAAGCAAATAGACCAACGTATGCGCCTGTGATTACAAATTGTGATAAGGGCTCTGAAGGAAATAAACAAGGTTTGTGTGGGGACCAGTGGTGGGCGGTGTGTTCGTGGGGCTGTTATACCAAAGCACCGCGCCTGGTGGCTTGTAAGCAACAGAAATTTATTTCTTGCAGTTCTGGAGGCTGGAGGTCTGAATCGGGGGTCCCTGCATGGTCGGGTTCAGGTGAGAACCCTCGTCTGTTGCAGACTGCTGACTTCTCACTGTGTCCGCACATAGTGGAAAAAGCTAGGGAGTTCTCTGGGGTCCCTTTTAGAAGGGCACTAACCCCTTCATGGGACTCTTCCTTCATGATCTAATTGCCTCCCAAAGACCCCCCTCCTAATGCCATCACAGTGGGGGGGGGGAGGATTTCAACATATGAATTGTGGGGAGACACACAAACTTTCAGTCTCCAGCAGGAGGGTGGGGCTGGGCAGGGGACTGATACTGTGCTTCCCTGGGAGGTGGGAAGAGAGACTGATCAGGGGAGTGAGCCAGCACAGTGCGTTCGGGAGCGGTTGTTGCAGTGGTCACGTGGTGCAGACTCCACTGGGGAATGCTGGGGCCCCTGTGGAACACAGTCCTCTGAGGCACCCCCCAGCGGGGGCAAACAACCTGGGGTCCTTGCCCACAAGCTCCCAACAGCCATGGGTTGGGAACTATTTTCAGGGCAGTAACTTCCCAGCACTTCTGGTCTGCACCCTGATCTGGTATTTGCAATATTTGGAACATGCTTAGACTAAAATGCAAATTTATCGGAAAATCAATTTTAACTGGGCATGCTGTATTTTATCGGGCAATCCCGGGCCCCTCCCTTGAGCACTCCTTCGATGGGTCCAGCAGCACCTGCAGCCAGAGAAGGTGTCAGCATTGCCGCTGCTTGTGGAAGGAAGGGCTGAGCAGGGGCTGGGAAGGAGGGTTGGAGAAGGCAGCGGAGAGACATCCAGGCAGCGTGAACCTCTGTTGTAAAGAGCCAGGTCCACTTAATGATTATTCGCTCTCTGTTCTCTTAAACCAGAGCCTCTCGGTATTTGGAAGTGATGTCTGAGTTTGAGTCACAGAGATAGGTGACAGTCCGAAGGCCGAGT